CCCAACCTTCCTTCCGAGGAGTGGCTGGTGGGTTTGAACCGCCAGCCTTCTGGTTAGCAGTCAAGTGCCTTAGCCACTATGCTACCAGAGAGCCAGGAGCTAAATAAAAGGCCACAGTCAGACCCAGAAGGACCAGGCCCCGCAGTTCAGAGGAAAAGCCAGCTCTGTGCTGGGCAGTCAGGGGCCACCCCACTGCTGCTCCTAGAGCCCAGCTCCTGGGGAGATGAAGACACCTTGGTGAGGCCACTGGTAGCACAGGGGTCCAGCCTGCGCCAGGCCAAGGTGTGGCCACACCACTTCAAAACCTGCCACGCTCACTCCACGTTCAGGCCCAAGGGAGCCCTCTGCCTCGGCCACAGGGGAAGCCACGCGGGGGCGCCCAGTCACACCCACCTTCCTAGCGAGAGCCCCCGGGGAGTCACCCTGCCTCTGTTCTGCGTCCCGGTGGGGACTGGTAGTACTCTCCTCTGGCCCGGTTGTGAGGCTGTGAGAACGCATGTGAAGGTCTGGCTCACAGCAGGTGCCTCCTAAGTGCAGGTGGTCCACGCAACTACACTCTCTGCCTGTGCTGTTAACAGAAAGATCAGTGGTTCAAACCCACCAGTCACTCTGCAGGGGAAAAGGCCTGGGGTTGGGCTTCCATAAAGATGACAGCCTAGGAAAACCTATGAGCAGTTCAACTCTGTCACGTGGGGTTGATGTGAACCCATGTCACCCAAGGACGTCCTACACACAAGGTTCCATCAACTCCTCTGCCACTGTTCTCCTAAGCTGACAACTGTGCCCGAAATGCTAATAGCTGCGAGCCTGAACCTTCTCCCTGGTACCACAAAGTGGAAAAATAAAAGAAAACCTAAGCCTGTGTTAGGCCAGGCACACGGGGTTTGGCTTTTTGTTTTGTTTGTTGTTGTTACGTGCCATCGAGTTGGAATCAACTCATAGCAACCTCTCCTTGGGTTTCCCATGTGGTATCACTACAGAAGTAGATTGCCCAACCTTCCTTCCAAGGACTGGGTAGTGGGTTTGAACCGCCAGCCTTCTGGTTAGCAGTTTACACCAGTTGCAGATAAGTGAGTGTCTTATGCTTTATCTGGGCCACTCAGAACCTACCTTGGGTCTCACATGAAGATTATGTAAATGACCGACCAGTACATCTTAAAGACAGTTGGACAATTAACCCCAAAAAGCACCCATTGCCATGGAGTCCATTCTGACTCACAGCGCCCCTAGAGGACAGAGTGGAACTGCCCACAGGGTCTCCAAGGCTGTCAGTCTTCATGGAAGCAAAGCCCAAACCACACCCACTG